CCTCAACTTTGAAGCAAGTGCATCCCGGCGGGCTCGGCTGTGGTACCCAGCCGCCGCCTCCCAGGGCATGCCTCCCCCGCCACCCGGCCCTCGGGAGCGTTTGGCGGCGGGGGAGGGAGAAGGGTTGCGTGTGCTCCTTTTCCTAAGTTTATGTTCATACAAGTGTTCAAGCCGCTGATGAATTTCACATGGAATGATAGTTCTGAGATGTGGGTGGTGATTATGCAAAGCCACGGTGCGCAGCCTTGTAAAGCTAGTGGGTAGCGGGTCCAGAAAGTTACGTTTGTAAAGTTTTTTTGGCTCAAAGCCTTTGCAAAGTTTATTTTGAATATCTTTTCCTTGCAGAACTAATACAACAGTCCAGCCCTCCCCCGAGAATGGTATAAAGTAAATATAGGAGTTCCTGAAAAATAACAGTGAGTACATTTCAAGTTAGCAACGTTTTGTTGTTAACTTTATAAGAATATCTCTTAACCTGCCAAGGCTCAATATGTGTAACAAACACATCGAGAGAGCCAATGATAATAACAGTGCAGGAAATGTACCGTGTGTTAATTGCTTTAGTATAAACATGGTTGCCTATGAGCTGTGTTTCGTGATCCAGCAATTACGGTGCAATTTCAGCAAGGGATGTTTTGAAGTACATTCATAAGCAAATAGGTTTTCTTTTGCTTTAGTCCCTCAGCTGCCTGATTGGCCTTGGTTAAAATATTTGTCTTTTGGGAAGAGGGAGAAATTGAGTGAGAGCTGTTCAGAGTCCTGTATCTGTGACTGAGGACATTGTTTCCTCCTCTTTCCCCTTGTCTATTTCTCCTCCTTTCCCCCAAATGCACACACACATGCATGCCAGTTATGTAATCTTGTAGACGTTTATGGATCATTCATTGTTCACATTAGTCCCATTCTTTCCATGTCATTCCTACTTGATTGAGTGACTTAGGCAGAATATTACACAGTAAAGAAAAATACATTGTAATTTACATAAAGTGCTTCGTTTAAGCTGCATGTTTGCTTTCTTTGAAGGCTTACTTTCCTTCTCCTCCTTTTTAACTTTTTTTCTGTTATTTGCTTTTATTTAGCTATATAAGTAGGTGGTAGGGCTCTAATCTGGTGACCAGTAACTAGATAAGGAGGAGGAGCAGCATAAGTGACAGCTTGCTGATAAAAGTCCCTCTTGTGTACTACTAAGAAAATATCCATTAACGCACATATAAAGCTGTTAAAAGTACTTCAGCAACTTTTAAAAACTCAACAGTCAGAGAAAATAAAGATTAATGTGACTAAAGCAGGAACATGATGTGAAATGGGTGTTAGAGAAAGATACTGTCAGTGCAGTCTGTGGATCTAAGTGTGTGAATTAACCAGTCTAGAGGCATACCAGATTCACAGTTTTATTCCTACTGGAAGGGTTGCATAGGGGTATCTGACTTTCTGTTCTCTCTCTTTGTAATCTCTTTGAAACTCACTATGCAGTACAATACACTTGTCTTCTCTGTAGTTTGCAACTTTGCTGTGAGTATCCTTGTCAGAGGATTTTTTTTGAAAGGAATGATGGTGGGGGGCAGAGAACTGTTTTGTATACCTATCATTTTGATTCTTTTGCTTATATTCTCCATATGCCAGGAAAAACTTAATACGTGTACAGTTCAGATGGATTTTGATGAGAAGAGAAAAACACGTACCTACTTACTCTGTAGCAGTCTTAAGTGGCCACTGAAAGTATCTGCAGTTCCACACTTGTCATTATATAACCTGATCATGTGTGTTCTTAAAAGCAAGTACTTCTGTATCTTTGCTGTTCAGGTGCAACAAATTGTATACATTCTCCTACAAAGTGTTTTCTTTAATGTCCCTTCACCCTAGTGTTCACAAAACAAAGCCTACAATGATACTAAAGGTGTAACTGTTGCTGAAACAGTGCTGTGTGCATTGTACTTCCGGACAGCAATGCTGTTAAGCAGCGAATTGCAGATCAAGAGTAATGTGGTGCTCCACCCTTCCTTCCGCTCTTTGTTTTTTCTACCTAGTAGAAGTCCCTTTGATTTTAGGGTTTGGACTCATAGACGTAGGTTCTCAGTGCCCAGACTACAATGTGATATTGGAATATGATCTCATGTTTTCCATGTTGATACACAGGGAGCAGAGCTCCCATGTTCACACATAAGACGTGTGGCTTTTATCTTTTGTTAGTCTAGATGGGTTCAGTGTGTGGTGGAGTGAATGCCTAATGTCTGTAGATTTAACTATAACTAGGAAAAGGTTTCCTCATGTCTCTGCCAGTGCACCTGCACACTAATGTGCAGTGTCCTCCTGTTCCAATGGCAAGCATCATGTTTTGATATATTGCCAACCACAACGTTTCTAATTTGTAATTCTCACATAAGGATTTGTTTGGGAATTAGTTGAGGCCATCAAGTACAGTTTTCTTCTTGAGCTCAGACTTTGCTATTACTTGATATTCAGTTTCCTTGAAATAAATGATCTCTTGAAAGTTTAGGAGCTCTCTTTGTCATGCTGTGCTGTGACTGTGCAGTTATGTCCTTGTATTAAAAAACCCCCACATTTGTAGAAGGTGATGGCATTTTGGGAACCCTGGAGGCTAGAAAACTTCATACACCCTTGGATCAAGGAAGAGTACTGTTGTTTCTTTTGGTCTCTTTCTCTGCACAGTTAAGCCTGGGTCTAGTAGATTTTCTCCTCTGCTCTGTCCTTGCACTGCCTGGAGAGTACAACTTGAGGGAGAATGAGTTGGTCAGGTTTGCCTCCTGGTTCAGTCATTATTCGATTAAAAAGCAGATTTCCACAAAAAAGGTTTTATGGTTACCAAGTCTTTGTGGTTTGACTACACTTGTGATTACAAATGGCTTTGCAACAGCTATCAAACCACCGTTCAGTAAGGTATGTGTTGTATCTTTAAAAGATTTCACTGCTTTGAGTGAGTTTTTTTGAAAAAGTTTTTTGTATTCGTGGCAAGAGGAACGTGCCAAGTACACGTTGTTAAACTTGTGTCAATTTAACAGAGCAACTGTTTAAAGGATTTTGGATAATTTTCCTTCTACTTGAGTAAGTCATCATTATTTTTTCCTTTTCTTTTTCTCCCTCTCTCCAAATATAACACTGGAAAAGGAGAGAAAGAGAAATCTAGAGCTATTGGCAGAAGTCAGGATGTTGGCAGGCATTTGATAGTACTGATAGTAAGAGGTGATAATATATATGTGAAAGTTAACATAAAATAGACTGCATGCATGTGGTGTTAGAGAGATGAATGGGAGAATAATGACAGAATTGCAGAGTTGTCTTTCAGTCAGCATTTTTGCATCCAGCTATTTGCAAGAATTAGGTTTTGTGGTGTGATATTTCAATATTGCAAATGTTGCAAGGCACAAAAGAGAGATTGAAGGATAATGTCACAACCTTTCTACTGGTTTCCTCTGTTTTCTGATCACTGTTAACATTTAAGAAGAATATTAATGAGAAGTCTATGCCCCGGGGGATAACTAGCATCTTTCCTCTTCTCCTTTTCAAATCTAACATAGGAAGAGTTCTGTGTTATGGGCAGACACTAAGTGGCTGGTGCCACGTGTGGTACCCATCAGTGAGGTACTGATTTCTCAATCCATTGAGCGGATTGGTTTGTAAAGTGCATGCTTGTGCTTAAGAGCAAGATGAACAGTGATTCATGTGGTGCTTGTTTGCAAACCCTTGGAAGTGCATTGATATTTTTTTCCTAATGGCAGGTTTCCATTTTGAATATTTGATTTGTCTCTACTAGGCTAAAATTCAATGGCTGCTAGGAAAGTGAAGTTAGTTGTGAGAAGTTAGTGGAAGTGATGGGCAAGGCATTTTTCTGTTTGGCCGTAAATCACACTGTGAGGAAGACCTACTGGCACTGCTGGTAGGGATCCCCTTAGAAAAGTGTTTTAGTTTATGTACAAATGAACTCATTTTGGTGCGTTTCTAGTGAGAAGCCTTTGGAGTTCTTTTATTACCTGTAGATGTTAGGCAAATATGATAAGCGACCTATTCTTACTGCTTTTGAGGACACAAGTCCTGGTGCTTTTGCTGTGTTCCATTTACAGTCAGTTGGCACTGCAGAACTCCCCAGGAGCTAGCACTAGTGCAAGGGAGAGAGTGGGAGCCTACCCATCAATGCTGAGGGCAAAGATTTCCCTACTCAGATTGAGATAAGTTGGTGTAAAGTGTTTGTGAAACATCATCTTCGGTAAAGAGGTGGGGTGTGGTGGGGGAAGGACTACGAAAATAAATTATTCCCAAACAGGTCTCTTACAAAATAATAACTGTGTCTTAGCTCTGTATATTTTCTCTTTTGCTTCTGCTTTGCTTCTGGTTTTTATTTCTCAGAGTTAAACTGTCCTTGTAAATTCTTTAATGTTTGCCACTTCTGCATTGGTACCTTATTTGTTGGTCTTTTGACATATTTATTTATCCCATCTCTTGTGGGTTTCAAGGACTTTGCCTAGTTCTTAATTCTTTCCTGGGCATCCCTTAGCTTATTACTCAATTAAATAAATTTATGTATGATTTCCAAGAAAGGTTATGGTATGGGTTGAAGCCTATATTACCTCCTATGTTCTTCAAAATTTTTAGCTCAAAGTGTTTATTGTACAGTCCTAATTCGTGGGTGGCATATGAAGTGTAAAACTGTCTCTGAAATATTGTGTCATCAGGGACTGTATAATTTTTTTATCAGGTGCATGAATGCATATGTGATAACCTTGCTTTTTTTCTTGTTGAGCTTGTGTCCTGCCTGGCTCAAAGGGAGGATGGGTCACTGCTTCTAAGAGAACTTCAGATTCTGGAGATGTGATGGCTTTAAACTCCCATTCTTTTATACAGCAGAAGATGCTTGCTTGAAGATGATCTAATTTCCCAGAGCTTTTTGCTAATTAGACAATGTACATGAACATGGACAAAATGCTCCATGTGGACTTTATTTTCCTTAATGAAAATGTATGAAACTGACAGCCCGTATCAAATACATCCAAGATTTTGGAGGTAGACAAGAGGAGAGATGTGCAGGGTTTGACAACAGGTTCAAATAACGCTGTCAGCATGTCAACCTTCCTCCTTCACTTGAGTTTTTTATGTACAGTTTCTGAGACTAGGTGGCTGGTGCTATTCATGGGTGGTTTTCTTCTAGCTCATTGTCAGCCTAATAGTAAGGATGGGAAGAGCCAGGGCTCCTGATTTAGTCTGTTGGAAACTTCTGTAATATGAAGCATGTAGTTGTCTTTTCCTGTGACCATGCACATGCTGTAAGTAAAGAGTGTACTTTGTGTATTTTTTTTGCTGACTTGAAGCCCATCCCTGTTTTTTCTGATGGTGACTTGATCCTTTATGTAGTAATAGGAGGTGCACAAATGTTGGGAAAACAGGAGAATTATTTTTATTTTTT